AAGAGGGAGAGCGGTTATTGAAGGCAGTGAGAAAAGTTTGGGATGATCACAAGAGTAATATGTCCAAGCTGCGCGACTTGCTAGGTTATATGGTATGCATTGCACCTTGGTATGGCGTTGATCCATCTGATTGGCCGTTTGACAGGATCGCATCTACTGTCCTGCAAACAATGTCCCTGTCATTTATGAGGCCGGAATGCAACTCTTCCTGAAGCACATTATTCGAACCACCGCTTATCCTATCCGACATCACATTATTAGCACCATCTTGCGGCTAATCGACATTGAACGGGGGGACGATGTGATCAACCGGTCCGCGATATGGAGCTGTGTCGAGATCTTGATGGAATTGAAAGACAAGCGCGATGGACCAACCGTCTACAAGCTTGATTTCGAGCCAGTCTTCCTGAAGGAGAGCGACGAGTACTATCTTGCGGAAGCTCGGCGCCTGATTGACACGTGCGACGGGCCGACGTATCTTGCCAAGGTGCGTTCAATGGATCATCGTATGATGCAAGTTAATTTTAGTTCAGGCGGAACGTAGACTGGACCAGGAGAAGTCCCGCACAGATCACTACCTTTCATCAACCACGACGAACCCCCTGCAGCGGATTCTAGAGGATCGATTCTTGGTTGCCTATATTACCACGGTTCTTGAAATGCGGAACTCTGGGCTCGCCGTTATGATTGATCAACATCAAATGGAAGATCTATCAAGATTATATCGCCTGTCGCTGCGAGTGATGAGCGGTATCCCCGAGTTAAAGCGCGCTTTGAAGGAGCTTGTGTCCACCCGAGGACGAGATATCAATTCCATGGAAGGCAGCGCCCACGACGGCGAAGATGGAGACGAGGAAGATCATCCAAAAGCGAAGGGCAAGGGTGCTGTCAAACCTGGTGTCAGTGTCCAGTCGGCCACTGTAGCACTGAAATGGGTTCAAGCAGTACTCGAGCTGAAGACTACCTTCGATGATGTCCATCAAGAAGCATTCATGGTTAACCCGGACGTTGGCATTGCGCTTCACGAGGTTTGACACTTGAAGTGAGCAATGAAATACGGCTGACAGGTCAATAGGCTTATGAGGCGGTCATTAATTCCAATCCTAAGGCTCCAGAATATATCTCGCTCTTTATCGATGACCACCTCAAGAAGGGGCTTAAAGGGGTATGCGCTTACATCCTCTTTCCGTTATATCCTTTGCTGATTACGGCCCTGCAGAAAACCGACGCGGAAGTCGATGCCGTGCTCGACAACACCATCACTATATTCAGATTCGTCACCGACAAGGACGTGTTCGAGAAATACTATAAGAATCATCTCGCAAAGCGCCTGATCAATGGACGCTCTCTCTCAGACGATGCAGAACGAAACATGCTCTCGAAGCTGAAGGTTGAATGCGGATTCCAGTTCACCCAGAAACTGGAAGGTATGTTCCACGATATGAAGATATCGAATGACACTATGAATTCATATCGACAACATCTGACCAAGTCCGAGGTGCGTCTGTTTGCGGCATCTTTGTTTTGCTCATTAATATCATGGGAACAGAGCCCGCAACCCATCGATCTCTCTGTCATGGTTTTGACCTCCACATTCTGGCCAATGCCTATGGCCTCCACACCTTGCAGCTTCCCAGCTCAAATGACTCAGGCTTGCAAATCCTTCGAACGGTTTTATCTATCTCGCCACTCCGGTAGGAAACTGACTTGGCAGCCTGGGTATGGGACAGCTGATGTCAGAGTGGCCTTCAAAATGAAGAAACACGAGATCAACGTTGCCACGTATGCACTTATTGTGTTGTTACTGTTTGAAGACCTGCGCGAGGGAGAGCAGCTATCTTATGAGGTACGGCAGACACCAGGACACATCGCAGACATGTTCAATAATCATTTCCAGGATATCAAAACAGCAACATTGATTCCCGAAGTTGACCTAAAGAGGCATCTGCAGTCGCTTGCCTGTGCAAAGTGGAAAATTCTGAAGAAACATCCACCTTCGCGAGACGTTGCAGAAGACGACACATTTAGCTTCAATCACGACTTCACTTCGCCACTAGTGCGGATAAAGATCAGCACGGTAGCCAGTAGAGTTGAGAACGCAGACGAGAGACAGGAGACGAATGATAGGGTTGATGAAGAACGAAAGCACCAGACAGAGGTCAGTCTTTCTCCTCAAAGCTGTGCCAAAGTGAATTGACACGCTGGCTACAGGCATGCATTGTGCGTATCATGAAGGATAGGAAGAAGCTAGGGCACAACGAGCTAGTTAACGAGGTCACACGACAACTTGCTACCCGTTTCTCTCCCAGTCCTGCTTTGATCAAGAAAAGGATTGAAGCACTGATAGAGGTATGATTTTGTCAGAAAACCCCGCTTGTGTATCATTGACGTATCGGCAGAGGGAATATCTCGAGCGAGCAGATGATCGGAAGTCCTACATTTACTTGGCATAATTCTGTAGTTTCACCTGTTGTACCCGCACAGTTCTTCCTGTCGCATCCTGTACTAAAGCGCATTATTTACTGCAATGGATCACGTTTGCATTGGTCAATTCCAGCATATATTCTTCTTGATAGCGCATAGGATGGCATAATAACTCCGTACTACTAGACAGGATAATTGACAACAACAAAACACATCAACCAGGCAGAACTTAGAATAGCGCGTGTCATGTCGCAGTAAAGTGGGCAAGACGGCTCTCAATTCATCGGTCGATGGTTCCCTATGGACGGCCAATAACAGCTAATTCGGACAAGACGTCGATTCATGGGCTAGCGTCGAGGGCTGAAGGCTCGCAACCGGAGTTGGGGGTAGCTGGGTCATACGCCTGGTGTCGAGTGGGGATACAGTCAAGGGTCTTCCAGGTAGGCGTGGCGGCAAAATGCTACTTATGGCGTCAAACGAGGCGACTTACAGCGCTGCTGCGGACGGCCTGGCGGAAGCATCGGCTTCAAGGCGGGCGGCTTGGCGATGTTATCGGCTTACAGGCGTGGCTAGCATGCGACTTAGGGCGGGTCGTTGACGGGTTATAGTGCTGGGCGGCGACGGCATGGTGGAGGACGGCAGCAGAGGGCAGCGGCTAGCTCAAGAGGGACCGGGATGGCATAGCTCTTAGGTCAAGGCGTCCGAGGTTTCAGCAGGCACTGGGCGGAGGTTCAGGTCCACATCAACTGAGGAGGGAAGGAAGTGGCGTCCCACTGTTCACCCCACATCTCTCAGGGAGGACAACTCGGCCGGCGTGCTGGCATAGCGGACGCTCAATTGACTGGCTAATTCACGCGGTGCATTGGCTATAGCGGGTGCTATCTGCTGTCCAAAACGACCGAGGCGTGGGCGGCATCAATGGCTGCATCCATGTGCGGCCAACCGGCGTGCGGTCGGAGAAAGCGGCGAGCGGTCATGTGATACATCCAAACGTCAATGCAGGACGCGGGTTCGACGGACGGCCGGCGGCTTTGAAGGTTGCCATGCAGGGCAACGGGACTGATGTTAAGCCCAAACGACGAACGAGTCAATAGATGACTCGCCAGCTTGTCACACAGCGTTTGCGTGCATACAAGCAACAGTAGAGGCGGTGGTGAACAAAGGGCGGTGACAGAATGCATACAGCGAGATGGGAATCAGTCCCAAGTCGGTAGGAAACTGATGACCGAAGACTCGAGGCAAGCGATGGCGGTCGAGGCATAGAATCATGATGGATCATACATCCGGGACGTTGAGGAAAAGATTGATGAGGCTGGAGCATGTGAGAAGATCCACCGCTGGATTATTCTCCCCGAACGATCGACGAACGAGATGTGACTATCCATCGGCACCAGGACGAAACAAGCTCGGGGGCGAAGGCAGGTGAATTGTTGAGAAGGAAAGCTATCATGGGTAGCAGGGGTGTAGCAGTCAAAGGAGACCGCATGTCTTGGTTTTTGATTTTTTGATTTGCAAAATAAACGCAAATAGGGTTTTAGAGCCGGTCCCTGGTTGGCTTCTTGGTAATTGATTTTGTATACGGCGATGTTTGCCACCTCGTTATCGACTCGAGATGAAGTCTAGGCAGCCCTCGCGCTCTCAAGTCGGTCGTACTCGCAGCTCGTATCCGTTCTCAAACCCGTCGCTGCATAGATGGGTCCGGATAGACTGGTACACCGCTTGGCGCGTCTGCTAGTTCTCTCGGTGCGCATCAACGGTTGGTGGGATCAACAGCCGGCCCGCGCGAACGGGCTGAATGCGATGGCGGAGAACTGCAGAGTGTGAATCAGTGGACATGTAGGTGTAGAGAAGTGCAGGGACGACATACCATCTCCTTACTGACCACTCTCAGATGCGATCGCTGCAGATCCAACATCTGGTGTCAGGAGAAGGACGAACAAAGTCCAACACACAACAGCTCTCTTATGCAAGACGTATCAGTAGTAACTCGGAATATGATGCCTATATGCGTACCCAGACCTCAAGGGCAGAAAACACCTGTTCCCAGCGAGCTTGGGCCGCGTCCACTACGACGCCCCTGTACATAGTGGTTAGCAAAAGAACATAACAGCAAAGAACGAGAGGGTTACGAACACTACAGGGCGAAGGGGGTTGTTAACAACAAGCCAAAGAGCGAAATGCGAGCGAACAGCGGTCTCTTATATCGTCTCAAATTTGGGTCCGCTGTGTGGGGATGGGTCTCGCGGTCAGACCCAGACTTCTTGGATGGGGATGAAACGATGCATCGCAAACGTCTAGATATTATCTCTCAACAATCTACGCACAACATCGGGGGCATCTATGCAGAAAAGTGAACGTACGCGGCACGACACTCTTTTGTGAGAGAAAGACAGTCACGAGCAGAAGTCATGCAACCCAAATTTGTCGCACGGCTCAATACCTTTGGAACGCTCAGATGACGGGCCAAACACTGGGGTGGTAGAGCTGGGCCTTATCACCGACACGCGTCCTGCAATTTCCCTACTACCTGACATCGATCTGCCCAGAACTGATTGCGCATTCCTCCAGCTATCTAAAGACCTTTGAAATGAAATCTTCACCAGATCAACTCGACCGACTCAGAATTGCTATAGTAGGCTGCTAATATTACCTGAGAGTAAGAATGACATGTGTTCGGTAGGCACTTCTCCCATGGCCCCCAGGCGTGCGCACCGCGCAAGGTACGTATATGCGCTTTTTTTTTGGTCCGCGATGCTTTACATATATTGGAATATCAACAGAAGCGGTCAAGCGATTGCGGGATGCGTTTCCGTTGAAGGATGGAAAGGAGGAAGAGCACTGGAAGAAGCAGGCCGATGACCTTCGCCTGAAGGTGGCGCAGATGCAACAATCCAACGACCTCCTGCAGATGGGTAAGTAGCTCTGCGCGTGATGGATAAGCTTTGAATCCATAACGAGATGATTGTTAGAGATCTTGACCTTGAATGAGAAGCTTGGTAGCGAAGTTCGAGACGATACCTCGGCAGAGAAGCGTCCTGCAGAACTCGAACCGACTGACGCTCAACCAAAGAAGAAGAAGAGGAAGATCGTATCCCCACCAACGTCGTGCGATCCAGAGGAGACCGGAAGGCAGTTGTCTAAACTCGAATGTATACTGGAAACGCAGAGTGAGTACGACGATTGGAAAGATCGCGGTTTTCTCACACCGACCATAACTCACTGCAGGAACCAATTATGCGTCGCCAAACGGTCGAGAACTCCTTTCCATCCTACGCGGTATCCAAGTAGTTCTCATGTCGCGACCTTTGGACAAAGAGCTTCTTCGTCGATCCTTAGAGCACGCGCTCGATCGCATTGGTCTTGTGCTCAAGCAACTACTGAAGTACCACTGTCTGGGAGCTTCTGTCGTCCCTTTACTCGACGGCCTTCCCCCTTCGTCTTCGCACATACCACTAGTATCCTCGCTGTCTGGAATGATCAGCGCACTCCTCGGACACGTCGCGGCGTACTTTGCGGAGGATCTCGAGTCATTCAGCCGGCTTCTTGGCGACAACATATTGTCACCTGCAACGAACAACATCCTTCCACTGACTCGAAGTCTTCTGGCCCGCGCGCTCGGTTCCAAGGAATATACAAGCAATTTGGACGATATACGCTCTGCGCTGTCGGATATGATCACGAATGTGCTCTCTTCTAGCATGAACGCTATGAAGACAGCCGCGTGTCAGCAGGTTGCACTTGATGCTGTCAAAGGACTCGAGAATGCGTTCCTCTTGGAGCATGTGTCTTATAAAGCACCAGCTCTCCAAAGGAAGCATCGACAAGAGCGATTGGCACGGAAGGATGCAGTACCCCATCTTTGCTCGATCCTGCGCGCAGCACTGTCCTCGCACAGGGAAGCACTCCTCGAGAGCAAATCCCCTCGATCCTTATATCTTGCCTCATCCACTCTTGACAAACTGAGCACTCTGCAGTTCGCGCTTTTCTCTTCCGGTCCAAGGGATAATGAGCGTGACTTGCTACGCGGTAGATCTGATCTCGGAGTCGTGGCCGAGGACGCGCTTCTGTCTGTTATCGAGTTTGCATGGATGTGTTGCCCAATCGATGAGCGCGTGTAAGAAGCAGAGGACGGAGGGCTGGAAGGATGTTCACATGAGCGAAGAGAGC